ACCGTCTTGGTTCAGATTACCGAGACAGACACCCAATGCCTTCACCACACCGGTACCACCAATGACATAGTCCTCATCCGGTGCGGCGTTGACTTCCTCGTCATTAATTTCTTCCAGTCCATTCGCGTGCCCAACAATATGCTGTAAGATTTCCGGCACGGGCACATCTTTGGTCGGAGACATGTTGATCGACTCGGAAAGCTCCTCGGCAATTGCCCCACCCTCAAGATTCCGCAGAGAATAGGCTACGATTTGAGATGCAAGAGCTTTGACCACTTCGTTGCTCTCGGCCGCTGGGACATCAATGTCAACGGCGATGATGGTCTTTGAAACACGGACGGCGGTCATCATTGACGCATAGACGGCACAAGCTTCCTCTTGCACCGCAGGATTTGTGCTCGAGGCCAGTGCAGCAATTTGCGGGTTCTCCATGATGTTCAGGTGGCACAGGCTTGGACATTCAGGAAGGACTTCAGCAAGACCAATAACGTGGTCGGGTGATAGATCAACATCTGCCAAGTGAATCCGCTTCAGGGAGTGCATCTTAGGCAAGAACCGTCTGAATGCCGCTAGCGAGCTTGGCTGTGAAGAGAAAAGCTCCGGGTTATGCGAGACATCCAGGAAGCGGAGGTTGTGCAGTCGTGAAAGGCCCTGGAGCAGTGGGCAGATCACCGAAGGGTTCAACGAGCAGTCTGCAAGACTTATCGCGAAGAGGGGCTGGTCAGGCTCGATAGCAGATACGATGAGATCGAGGTCATCTTTGATGGGATTCCCACCCAAATCCAAGCCTTCACAATACTCGTCTTTGAGGTAGTCAACCACATGCCTCAAACCTTCCCGGGAAATTCCGTTGTTCGCGAGACCCAAACGTCGTAGCTTCATTGTCGTGGCGGCAGTACATATTTGCTTTACTTGATCTGTTGAAGGCATGCACTCGCTCAGTAATAGCTCTTCAAGATGATCGCCACCGAACCTTTTCCCCAGAGCTTCGGCAAACACAGCGCATGCATCAAAGGGTGGTGCGAGGGTCTGTCCCGCGGGGCTGTCGGATGGAGCTCTGATCTTGGGAAACGGTATTCCAGACAAATCGATAGCCTTGAGAGATCTAGAAAGGTGGACGAAGAGACTGATGTGGCGCCAACCTTCTCGTCCAATCCTCGGATTCTTCTTGAGCGAGAGCTTCTCGACCACGCCCCACCGCACGTTCTTCACCACGGGTGAGTCTGGTTGTCGAAGCCGGCGGCGTCGATAGCGCATTTGCTCTACTGTCTTGGTAGAGAGAAGCCCTGAGAGAATTGATCTGACCGATTCATCGTTCAACGAGCAATTCTCCAGGATCAATTTTCGGACAGGCACAACAGCGAGCCAGTCGCTAAATGTCGCTATGTCTTGAATGGTCATAGGGAAGTTGCTCAGGTCCAATGCAGCCACGGTACCCGGAGATTCGGCCAAGGTTGAAGATGGGGACGAGATCTCATCAACAATTCTTTTCAAGACTGGCGTTTCACGGAGCTGGCAACAACGGCGGTAAATTCGCACTGGGTCGGTTGTTGGATGACTCTGTGTTTTTGATCGTGAAAGACCGCCAACTGATGGTCGGAGGTCGTCCTCCTCATCCTGGCCATCAAGCTGCAGAGGAATTGTTCCGTTGGCGACGGCTTGCCTGCGCTTCCGCTCCTTACGTTCTTTTCGCTCCTCCTCGGACCGTTTTTTCTTCTCTTGCTTCCGCGTAGTGTCTTTGACCTCTCCATTGGCCGGTGCGTCGGCAACGACGCCGGCATTTGACGACTCCGAAAGCGTGGGCGCCAAACTCAAAGTCTCTGAGTCGAGAGTGGTTGGCGGGCTCACCGAAGGCAACGCTTCTTTATCTGCGACCTGTTTAGGGCTCTTCGGCGTGGCAGATGCCCCGTGATTGTTCTCCCTGCCTTCCGACTTCTTCGCTTTCTGCCGGTTGGATTCGGGCAAGGACTGTCGCAGCTGATTTGTTGGAGGTGCATCCTCATCCGAGTCTCTGTGTGAAATGCCCGCAATTTCCACATCAACGCAAAACGCTACCCGGTTCAGCTTGCCTTGTTTGAGATCTGTCACCTTGCACCGGTCTCGTCCGGGGTCAATATTCATGACACGACGAGGGCAAACGGCACTGTTGGCAGGGAGCTTTGGAAGTCCTCCCTGGTTGGACGAAAACTTGCGCAGCGCATTGTGAATGAAAGATGTACCTTTCGGTGACGTGGAGCTCGGGGTAGTTGTCTCCTCCTTCTTTTCGGTCTCGCGATCTTTGGGAAAATAGGCTGCGCCGAACGGATTATGTGCATCGAGGGGAGATGTTGCTTTGGGGCTCGCGGGACTTCCCTTGAAGCTCGATTGCGATGGAGGCGTCGAACCAGACGAAAACTTTGAGCTCAGACTAGATATCCAGGAGTTTCTCCGTCCAATCGGCTTGGGGCTACTCTTTGGCACAGTCGGGGATTGGTTCGAGGTTGGTAGCTTAGGCGCCTCTGTCCGCTTGTCGACTTTCTCAATCTTCTCTTCCGATTTCGTATCATCGATGACCTTTGGAAAAGCGCGCGACTCCTTTGAAGAAGGCGGTTCCACGGGCGCACCATTCGTTTGAGAGGTTCGAGGAGATACCGATGTCGCGGACGTCGCATCTTTCTCGGCTGGAGACCTGTCGCTTGTCGTCGATGTAGCGGACTTGGTGCGCGACAGATGGTCTGAAGAGATAACATAGTGAGTCTTCCTTGTCCGATGTCCTATGCGCCGGCCTCTCGCCGCTGGCGAGTGTTCCGCGGGAGACACCAGGGTGAGTGCGAACGACACCAGCCACTGACCTTTCTGTGAGTGATGAAGCCAGCTCACATCCACCGTCTGAACGCCGTCCATCTTGTGATTCAAGATTTCCTCTCGTTACAATTCTGCTCACGCACACACCACAGTGGGAGGGGAAGGCTGGCGGGAATGGAGCCTCTGTCCTGGTTGACCAGTTGTGCGACTGAGTGGCAGGATCGAGGTCGAATGACAGGAGAGGCCTAGAACGGATGACGCATCATTTGGCTGATCCCCGCTTCGTGTTTGGATCTATGCAGTCTGGGTGCTTGATGTGACGGTCAGCGAGTCCTAATGCTGACTCCGATGGGTGCTTTGTTCAGTCAACGGGCGGCAGACTTGGACTGGCTGATTGTGTTTCAGTCACAGTCTGGGGATGTCGCAACCAAGCCAAATTGTTCAGTGCTGCTAGTGGTACTATCGCAGTGGCTGTGGGGCACACACCATCCGTGGAACGAGTCGCGCCCAGTGGCCGTTTTCTGGAAGACCGTCTACGCTGGTCTTGGGCAAGAGAAGAGATTAGATTCGAGGGTGTGGTATATAATGTGGCATGCTGTGCGAGGATCTGAGTCCAGCACCTGGATTGGTAAGGGGCCGATTGACTGGATTAAGGGGGGTTGGTGAAGAGAGACGCTTAGGAATTCCTCACAAAGTGGCGCGAGGAAGCGACCGGAAGAGGGGGTGGATATGATGAGAATAAGGTAGTCCCAAAGGTCAGCACCTGAACGGAGGAACATCCCCATATCGATGATGGTGACATAATGCCCGCTTCCAGATTAGGTTGGTCCGCTCGTGCAGTGCAGTCGACGCTTAGCTGGTCAACGTTATCGGTCTATTACATTACTATGAGTATGATTGCTAGGGACGAGGCTGGTCATCCCCTTTCAAATGCTGTTGTCTCTTTCTTCCCCTTGGAAGATGGTTATGTTGAGATGAAACTACTGCAGTCCTGCCGTATATGAGCTCTGTGTCGCTGATATGCTTTCTTTCTTCACTCCACATTTGGCCTCGCCGTGACCGGCTCACCGGGGCTCGTCCTTTGCTTTTGCAATATGCCTTGCCCAGTCATTTCCGCTGAAAATCCAATTCTCGTAATCTTCTTTCAACTTAGCGTCAAACGCAAAAATGTGACCCACCACGGGCACGTGAGGGTTCTGCTTTACACACGCAGGATATCCGTCGATTTGGACTAATCAAGTGTACAGTCTTCCTTCTGCTTACGGCACAATGGCAATGTCCGTGAGGGGTTCTGCTTTACACACGCAGGATATCCGTCGATTTGGACTAATCAAGTATACAGTCTTCCTTCTGCTTACGGCACAATGGCAATGTCCGTGAACCACCAACACTAAGCCTACTCCTAGTGCCTACCTGCGTCGAAGATAGACATGCAGTATTGAGCCTCAATTCGATGAGTTTCCACCTCGCTTAGCGCTCAGCTTTGTCCTGTTCCGAAAAAGCGGTGGCGTGCCTGATACTCACTCCTCTTGTGGGCATACTTTTCAGCTGACCGATCATTTTGATTTTTGGGCTCCCATCTTCCCATTCCGATGTGGAGGAGCTTTTCCGGAGACGTTGGTTGCAACTCCGGCTCGAGTGGCGGAAACGGCCCCGGCGGGCAAGCAAGTGCCCGACAAAACTGACTCAACCGAGTAGTTGCTGAAGGTGTTGTTGACATGGTCGGGTAGTAAGTAGTTCGCCATATGCTGCCCGTAGTTACAGGCGAAGCCCTCTCCTCTACAGGTAGGGCTGTCTTGGATGCCTCTTAGGCTCTTACTCGGGTGATTGGCAGACAGTCGGTTTTTCTATTGCTATGCATGCGTAAAGCTTACCTATCACTCAATGCAGATCAGAGGCCGGATTATGGAAGCGGTTGGGCTGCGTAGTAAAGTTCAGAAGCCCAGCCTGCCGTGTTCAAAGGGCCATGAGAGTTCATTGAGCGAAAGACTTATTCAATGTGGGAATATTGCGCCAGTGTCTAGTCACTGCTGAGATTTTGTCTGTGGCAATAATAATGCCCAGAGCATCAGTGTGTTGGCTTAGCATATACCACTGGCACCGATGTAGTAGTATCGATTGACTATCGAGGACCTTTGAATCGAGAGCTGATCGGGCATGTTGCCGTTGAAAAAGAATGCATATATTCTTAAAAGACACCCTATCTAACATCCGAAGCTTCAGTAGTACAATGGTTAGTATACACGCCTTCCAAGTGTGTGATCGGGGTTCGATTCCCCGCTGATGCAACCTTCCCATTTCTTTTTGTTTTTGTTTTGCTTTGATTTCACCTTATCGTGTAACCGTACTACGGGCGCACCGCGCACTCGCAGTATGACTATGTAGTATGTAGTATGCACGTGGTCCCTGGACACGGCCGTATTTCACTAAGACTTTTTTCTTAATCATAAGCTACCATTGTGGTTACATTAGATGGCTGACTACCTAATAGCTATGCTCATAACAAGTAGGTATCGGGAAAGGTACGAAAGTGCATTCTGTACATCTAATCATCCCACACTCAAACCATGGTCAGCCGCTATGGGTCCAGGTATGAATGTTGGGGCTAGCTGTAGCTTGTTCGGGGCTGATTTGAGAGCTCCCAACCTTGATGGCTCTGCGTCAAGTGCGTCCTGTAGTTAGTGCGTAGTGCGTCACTGCGACGGTACTGGTTGAGATTACTCGCTGCAGGACTTAGCTCCTCTGGTGAGTGGCCGCAGTGGCGTATGTCCCGGAAGTACGGCGGTCTGCAAAGACCTGCTCTCAAAAACAAAGACCACAACAAAAAGAACTTATGATGATGCATCAGCGGGGAATCGAACCCCGATCACACACTTGGAAGGCGTGTATACTAACCATTGTACTACTGAAGCTTCGGATGTTAAATAGGGTGTTTTCTAAAAATATGTACCCTTTTTTCTACAGCAAGGTGCCCGCTCAGCGCCCTATCGATGCGAAAGTTGAAAGTACGACAGGTAAATTGAGTCTGGCTCTCTGCGCATATCTGACGACTTGATGACCTGGGAATTGACAATACTCATTAACAACGAGTGGAGAGTCCGGTCGGAATGATATGAGCCGGAGATGAATCACAGTCACCGATCTTGCTGATTGTTGCTGAAGTTGAGGTGATGTAGCACCGGCGGGCAAGCACATATACGCTCAAATATATCACTGTAGTCGCTCGGTTCAGCGTCACTCGACCGGCTATCACCTCGGCACCTAACTACGCAATCCATTCAATTAGAAGACTTGAAACCCATGAAACGTTGCCCAGAACCTAGCCGACCAGCCGATAGTTTGATTATCGGCTATCCAGGTACTAGGTATCATGACCTGGCGGTCCCCATTCGACTACATGTGATGTTACGCACGAAGTTAATCCACGTTATAGGGTTGTCGAGGGTCAGTTTACGGGCTGCACAAAGTTCACAAACAAAAGGTGTGGACTCGGACGGAAGCGATCTCGTCTCATCGCGCCTAGTCGATGAGTTGATATCATCGGAATCAATGCTACATAGCTGCCTAATATCTGATCACTCGATTAAAGCTCAAGACGTAGATACTGGGCAATCGCGAAATCCTAGCAGTGGCAGTGCGCAGCAATGTGTATATCAAGTTATCAACACCGTAGGAGTTTAGGAGCCTAGGAGGTAGTTTACGTGTATTAACAGGAGCTGCTCATCACGTAGAGTTTTCCGATCTGAGTCAACCGTTCCAAGTACGAAGGCCGCAAAAGACTCTACTTGACGAGTCATTCAAAGGCTGCTAAAGTTTCCGATCACACGGCCACTTGTAACGCTCGGGCTCGGACAGCATCAATTCCAACCGCTCGCACTGACATTGGCGTCGACTGGCCCCAGGCCCGTTGCGCTAGGCCCGATCGGGAGCCCGCAGCACAGGGAGTGAACATCCCCCGTCACGCACATCTGCACAAGGACTTATTCACGTACGGGCAGTGTTGCCAAATATGGGTTGACTAGGGAAGGCTTCAAGAACAGTGGATCCGTGGTGGCGGAACCTGCTATACTATACTAAGTGACGAGGTCGCTCTTCTCAGATCTTTAAATTAACCTGCTTTCTATCCCACGCGCCCTCTTCAGTGTGAAGTACATATGCGCGAACACGAATTCGAATTATACTCCGCACCACACGAGAGCATTCGTATACGATGACATCGGCACCCACAATACTTGCGACGTGCAAACAGACGCGGTTTCATCTTCTTGATGATAATCCGTCGAATGAGGTACACACCTGAGCAAACTTGACAGATCGCAAAATCCTAGAATCAGAGCTCCATCGCGGCTGACTTGACCATCACCTGGCCATCCAAAGGTTGACGTAGAGGGTCTCTTTATCACCATCGCCTCGAATGTGCCCGAAGGTGCAGATGACTCCGCCAAAACCAAAGCCAAGGCAAAGTCGAAGAGCAAGACAACAGGGAAAGAGCTCATATCAGACGCGCATCTGCGTCTGAAAGGCGGCATCCACTATGGCCTACTGGGCCGTAATGGAACGGGAAAGTCAAGTAGGGTTTCACGAGGACACGCGAAGAGCGTCAAGACCAGCGCTGACCATGACACTTGTGTGAATTGACAGCATTATTGAGGGCAATGGCAGACAAGCTCATCCCCGGAATTCCACATGTGAGCCGGATTGCAATCCTTCAGCAAACCGGAGTGGACGATGAGTCCGGAGGCTATGGGAAGCTACGGTTGGACAAGACTGTTCTGGATGCCGTGTTGAGTAGCGACGAGTCAAAGAATGAGATCACGCGCACAGCCGAGGGTAATCACCTTGCCCAGTAATGTCGTCATTCGGGCCTCATTGCTAATGAAGCATAGTCCTTTCCAAAAGTTTTGATAGCGAGGACCCGCTAGCACCAGTCAAAGCGATTCGTCAGGTCCAGCACCAGCAGGCAGAAAGGGATCTGTTTCTTGCCAACAAGAACGCCAACCTGAAAAGTGGCGCAAGAGGGTTTCAGGCCAGAAAAGACTTGAAAGTAGCCGAAGCAAAATTGGATACGGCACGCGAGCGGTATGAGACTGCGCATATGGGATGCACTGATACAGACCTTTCCGGTCAAGAACATTGCTGACCAGTATCGTCCATTTACCAAGACTAGCACAGGATGTCGAGACAATTGATGCCGAGACCGTCCAAGAGGACACACAGACTGCTGCCGAGGCACTGCAGAATCTACAGTCACAGCTTGAAGATGCAAGTATTACGCCATCAAAAGTAAAGAGCCTACCATAGTCACTAACATATCAATAGATCAATAGGGTAGAGATGGAAAAAGAAGCTCGCAAAATCCTGATCGGTCTTGGATTCAAAGAAGAGAACCTCGCGAAAAAGGTCTCCACCCTCTCAGGTGGATGGCGCATGCGATGCATGCTCGCCAGCGTCTTAATTCAAACGCCAGATATCATGATCCTGGACGAACCGACCAACTACCTGGACCTGCTCGGGGTGATCTGGCTTGAAAAGTATCTTCAAGAGCTACGCGAGAGGTCCGAGACGACAGTGCTTCTGGTTTCGCACGATCGTGACTTTATCAACGCCGTCTGCGAGGAGATTGTGATCCTACGAGAGCAGAAACTCACATATTTCCGAGGAAATCTCGCCGCTTACGAGCAAGACTTCGAAGAGCAAAAATTGCGCTGGGGTCGCATGAAGGAGGCACAAGAGCGACAGATTGCCCACATGGAAGCGAGCATTCGTGAAAATTTGAAAATAGGGAAAAAGACCAATGACGACAACAAGCTTCGACAAGCCAAGTCTCGGCAAAAGAAGGTGGATGATCGAATGGGCCTGCAGGTCAATGCCAACGGTCACCGGTTCAAGCTCAATCGTGACCTTGTTGGATACCACCTGACCAGCCGTGCGGAAATCGATGTGCCCCAAGATGAAAAAGGGGCAGTCATGGCAATTCCCGAGGTCACCGAACTGCGATTTCCGGGGCCCCTGGTCTCTCTTGAAGGGGTCACCTTCAAATATCGTGGGAATGATCGAGTCATTCTCGATGACATCAACCTCGTAGTCCATATTGGAGATCGAGTGGGCATCATGGGATTGAACGGAGGTGGCAAGACCACGCTGGTTCGCATCCTGAATGGTCAAATGTCTCCCTCTCGAGGAAAAGTCACCACCCACCCTCGACTGAAAGTGGGATACTATGGACAGCACTCGGTCGAAAAGTTACAGGAGAGAGGCCGCGATGAGCCCAGTCTCACAGCGCTGAGACTCATGATGGCCGAGACAGAAGGGAGCCTGAACGAAGGTGCTGTTCGCGGCCTACTCTCATCCATAGGCCTAGCCGGTCGCATCGCTTCCGACGTTCCTGTGGCTAAATTGTCCGGTGGTCAACTTGTACGGCTGGCGCTGGCACGCATCGTTTGGAGCTGTCCACAGTTGTTGATTTTGGATGAAATCACCACGCACCTGGATTTCCATACAGTCACGGCGCTGGCTACAGCTCTGTCCTCGTTCAACGGAGCCATCATCTTGGTTTCCCACGACCGATTCCTCACCCGTTCGGTCATCGAGGGGAAACGAGACACCGAACACAAGCTCGACGAGGAATTTGAGGGACTCGAAGAGGAGGAGGACTCCCCCGAAACGAATCCCCGTCGCCGATCCGTGTACGTGCTGAAGGCGGGCAAATTGAGCGAGCAGGCCAATGGTGTGGAGCAGTTTGAGAAGAGCTTGGTAAAGCGTGTGCAGAAACTGCTTACTACTCGCTGACTTCTCAGGTCCCGACGGGACTCTTCGTTAACTCTGTTGTCAACCTTTGTCAATCTCGGATGCGGAAACAGGTTTAGACAATAGTAACGCTCCAGGAACTCGCACACTCCTGTGGGTCTCAGGCCCACTCTATTATCATTCTCGTGACTTCTACCAGTAACTAGTGGTAGTAGTAGTAGTAGTAGTAGTTGACAGTTGGTTCACTTTATGAGTTCATAAAATCCCTGTCATGTCTGTTTAGCTGCTCTCAGTTATGGGGAGTATGTACAAACAGTGCTCTTGGTTGTGTAGCATAGCACAGTGTTAACGTAATGTCGTCTCTGCCATTGCCCCATGCAATTCTCTCAAGTTGTTGAAGATGAGGGGGTCCTTCTCCGCTCGCGAGTCCGCGGAGATCTCCGTCGTTGAGCGGTGGAAAGAGTGGGAAACAGAGTGGAAGAGTCACCGCCCCGCAGGGTCCATGCGGCGCGGGATTGACTGATAAGCTTCGTCGATTGTT